ATACAATGGGAAAAAGATAGTCTTTTCAACAAATGGTATTGGGAAAACTGGACAGCTATGTGCAAAAAAACCTGGATCACTTTCTTACACCATACAGAAAAATAAATTCAAGATGGATTAAATGGGGTGCCTGGATGGCTTGGTTGGTTAAGTGTCTAAGTCTTGATCTCAGCTCAGGTCTTCATCTCAGGGTCATGAATTCAAGCCCCTGCACTGGGGTCCATGCTGGGCATAAAGCCTCCTTATAAAACAAATATAAGCAGCAACAACAACAAAAAAACCCAGAGTGGATTAAAGACCTAAATAGGGTCATGAGTTCAAGCTGTGCACTGGGCTCCACAGTGGGCATAAACACATCAATCAATCAATCAACAAAAAACCCAGCACCACTAAACCCCCAAATGGATTAAAGACCTAAATATGAGGCCTGAGATTATAATCATCCTAGAAGAGAGCACAGACGGTAATTTCTCCAACATCAGCCAAAGCAACTTCTAGATACATCTCCTAAGGCAAGGGAAATAAAAGCAAACGAACTTATAAAACTCAATACCCAAAAAACAAAGAATCCAATTAAAATGAGCAGCAGACATGAATAGATATTTCTCTAAAGAAGATATACACATGACATATGAACAGATGCTCAACATCACATCATCATGGAAATGCAAATCAAAACTAAAGGAGAGTGGAGCACCTAAAAATGGCTCTGGTTAAGCAGCCAGCTCTTGATTTCAACTTAGGTAATAATCTCAGGGTCCTGGGACTAGGGCTCATTGCTCATCAGGGAGTCTGGGATGTTGAGGCATCAGAGGCACTCTCTCTCTAAAATAAATAAATAAATCTATCTTAAGGGGCATCTGGGTGGCTCAGTTGGTTAAGTGTCTGCCTTCAGCTTGGGTGATCCCAGGGGCCTGGGATCGAACCCCACCTAAGCTCCCTGTTCAGCAGACAGTCTGCTTCTCCCTTTCTTTCTCCTTCTGCCTCTCCTCCTGCTTGTGCTCAAATAAATAAAATCTTAGAAGAATAATAAACAAAAAAATTAATTAAATAAATCTAAAAAAAAAAAAGAAGGAAACACCTAAGAGGTATTACCGCATACCTGTCAGAATGGCTAAAATAAAAAAACACAAGAAATAACAGGTATTGGTGAGATGTGGAGAAAAAGGAATCCTTGTACACTGCTGATGGGAATGCAAATTGGTTCAGCCACTGTGGAAACCAGTGCAGAAGTTCCTCACAAAATTAAAAATAGACTTCCCTAGGATGCAGTAATCAATCACACTACTGGGTATTTACCAAAAAAATTCAAAAACATTAACCCAAAGGGATACATGCACTTCTATGTTTATTACAGCATTATTTACAATAGCCAAATTATGGAAGCAGCCCAGTGCTGAGTGATAGATTAATGGATAAAGACAATATGATACACACACATTGGAATATTATTTGACAATAAAGAATGAAATATTGTCACTTGCAACAATATGGATGGAGCAAGACAGTATCATGCTAAGTGAAATAAGTCAGTCAGAGAAAGACAAACCTCATGGTTTCACTCATGTGGAATTTAAGAAACAAAACAAATGAGCAAAAGGAGAAAAGGAGAGATAGAGACAGAAACAAATCAAGAAAAAGAATCTTAACTATAGAAAACAAAGTGATGGTTACCAGAAGGCAGGTGTATGGGGTGATGGGTGAGGTGATGGGTAAAACAGGGTTTGGGGAATAAAGAGCATACCTACAATGATGAAAAAAGAGAAAAGGGGGTGGGGAACAGAAAAGGAAATAAGCACACACACACAAAATAATAAAACCCAAAAAGAGAGCTCAGGCCTCACAGATACGGTCTTCATCCAAGGCTGTGTGGTGAACATTAAGGAAGAAAGGCTTCAGAAGCCTGGCTCATTTACAAATTGGATAACCTACACTGAGTACAACTGCTCCTCTACTTTTAGAAGTGCTTATTAGAATCACTTATTGGAGTACCAATGTTACAAGGAGTCCTGGACCCCTCACTGTCCCCACAACAGAAGCCTCTATAACAACAATTGTCCTTTGCAGGTTCCTTCACTGTCCCTTCGATATTCAGAAGCTCTACTCATCCCTGAACTTTCTAACGAGAGTCAGTTGGTTAGTTATCTTGTGGCAGACTGGTGTTAATCCCTTAAATCCATTCTCCCTTTCTTCCCTAGTATTAGGGCAATGGCTGGACACATGGTTTCTCAAGACTACCTTTTGGAATCTCTCCTGCAGTTAGGTATGGCCAGTCATGTAAACTAAGTTCAAGTTATGGGTCTTCTGAATGTTGGCCCTAAAACACTGGCTATGTCTTCCAGCATTCTTTTTCCTTTCTGAGGGTAGAAACATGGATATGGCAGTGACCCAACTTTGACAATTCAACAGACAACATTTTGGAGAATGGCAGAGCAACAAGATGGAAAGAAACTGCATCACTGAATGACTTTATGGAATACAGATACAGACCTGCTCTGAATCACCTTCTATCTTTGCATATTATATGAGAGAGAAATACATTTCTGTCTTGAGTTGGGGGAAAAAAAAAACCGGGGTGGGGATGTGAAAATTTTCATAAACAGAAACCTCATTTAGAATGGAGTCAGGAGGGCTCCCTGGGTGGCGCAGCGGTTTGGCGCCTGCCTTTGGCCCAGGGCACGATCCTGGAGACCCGGGCTCGAGTCCCATGTTGGGCTCCCGGTGCATGGAGCCTGCTTCTCCCTCTGCCTGTGTCTCTGCCTCTCTCTCTCTCTCTGTGACTATCATAAATAAATAAAAATTAAAAAAAAAAAAATAAATAGAATGGAGTCAGGAGGCCAGCAGGGGGAGCTTTCACACCCTACCATTCCTCAGTTGCAAACCCAACAGGAAGAGACCAAGGACCCACTTTAGTACCCCAGCAGGAAGAAGGCTCTTCTTCACTCCTGTCCCTGCAAACAGTCCAGCCAATAAGAGACCATCACAACGCAAGCCAATTAAAAGCCACCACACTTCATGTTCCCAGTTTATTCCAATGGACCTATTTTGTTTATAATAGCCTTCCCTATATCCCCCTTTCCTCTATAAAAGAGTGTTTCTCTCTTTTGTTCTGTGGATTAGTCTTTTTTTTTAAATTTTATTTAGTCATGAGAGACAGAGAGAGAGAGAGAGAGAGAGAGAGATGCAGTGACACAGGCAGAGGGAGAAGCAGGCTCCCTGTGGGGAGCCCAATGTTGAACTAGATCCTGGGACTCCAGGATCACACCCTGAGCTGAAGGCAGATGCTCAACCCCAAAGCCACCTGGGTGACCCAGATTTGCCTATAGTCTTGCCATAGTTTGCTTGTCCTGGATTGCAGTTCTCTGCTATTCCTGAATAAACCCGTTTTTGCTGGTAAAAGAACTGGCAGACTTCTTGACTGATTGAGAGCGTGCACTTATAGGCAGGAGGGAGCATGGCAGAGGGAGAGAGAGAATCTTAAGTAGGCTTCATTCTTCAGTGCAGAGTCTGATGTGGGGCTCAATCTCACAAGTCTGAGATCATGACCAAAATCAAGAGTCTGTGCTTAACTGATTGAGCCACCCAGGTGCCCCTGGCAGTTTTATTTTTAAGGTTAATAAAAACAAATACTCTTTTGGAAAACTATCAAATGAAAAAGTAAGCGAAAATACAATGCTAAATTGTTCTAAAAACAATGAAATCGGGCAGCCCGGGTGGCTCAGCGGTTTAGCGCCACCTTCGGCCCAGGCCTGATCCTGGAGACCCGGGATCGAGTCACACATCGGGCTCCCTGCGTGGAGCCTGCTTCTCCTTCTGCCTGTGTCTCTGCCTCTCTCTCTCTCTCTCTCTCTGTCTCTATGAATAAATAAATAAAATTTTTAAAAAATAAAAATAAAAAAATAAAAACAATGAAATCAAGGAACTTTCATTCAGAGTTTATGTGATATATAGCCAGAACTATATTCAGAGACCAAACTAATTATGTTTGTTAAGAAACAACATCACTTCCTTGTGTCCTCTCAACAGTCTAAGTGTTCATCTGAAGAAAGAACAAAAATAAAGGAACTTAAGAAAAGTCAGGGTAACAAAATTATGAAAATAAAGAGAAATGGAAAAGCAGAAAGCCCATTAATAAATGGAAGTGTAATAAAACAGACAAAATCAAGCTGATTAAGTAAAAACAAATTTAAAAAAATCCTTTAGTAGAAACCCAAGCCTCCATACCCCACAAAATGATCAACAATTAGAGAGTTATATGTGAAGAAAAACAGTTCTGGGAGAGCTCTGGAAATCCTCTTAAGATATTTTAGCAACATAAAAAACCCTCCCCCAAAAGGCAAAGGGAGTCATTGTAGACGACTGGTCTGAAGGCAAACATTGCTTAGCCACATTGATAGGATGCACACAAAACACATAAGAGACAACCCTGAAATGCCAGGTGAAGAGGTGGACACTGCATAGCAGGGCACTACAGAACTTCTTCTTTATAAGTCCACTAGTTTCAAGAGGAGATGTACCTGACTTTCCTAACACACAGAAACAGACATGGAGGGGGGGAAAAAAAACAAACAGACCAGAGTTAGAGCAAATGAAGAGATGATTATGTCCCAAATGAAAGAATGGGACAAAATCACAGCAAGAGAGCCAAACAAAACGGATAACATACCTGACAGAAAACTTAAAGCCATCATAAAGATATCCACGGAACTTGAGAAAAGAGTGGAGGACCTCAGTGAGACCGTCAACAAAGAGACCGAAAACACAAAAAAGAACCAAACAAAAATGAAGTACTCAATAAATGTAACTAAAAATACACTAATTGGAGTAAATAGTAGACTAGAAGAAGCAGATGAAAGGATCACTGTCCTGAAGAACTGATAATGAAAAGCAATCAAGCTGAACAGGAAGCAGAGAGAGAGAGAGAGAGAGAGAGAGAGAGAGAGAGAAAGAAATGTAAATAGACTTAGGGAACCTGGCGACACCATCAGCATAATAACATTCACATTATAGGGACCTCAGAAGGAGAGGAGAGAGAAAGAGGCAAAAAATTTATTTAAAGAAATAATAGGGGATCCCTGGGTGGCGCAGCGGTTTGGCGCCTGCCTTTGGCCCAGGGCGCGATCCTGGAGACCCGGGATCGAATCCCACGTCGGGCTCCCGGTGCATGGAGCCTGCTTCTCCCTCTGCCTGTGTCTCTGCCTCTCTCTCTTTCTCTCTCTGTGACTATCATAAATAAATAAAAATTAAAAAAAAAAGAAATAATAGCTGATAACTTCCTGAATCTGGGAAAGCAAAGAGAAATCCAGATCCAAGAGATGTAGAGAGCCCCCAACAAAATCAACCCAAGGAGGTCCACACCCAGACACGGTAATTAAAATGGCAAAAAGTAGAATTTTGAAAGTTGCAAGAGAAAAGAACAGCTACATAAAAGGGGAATCCTATAAGGCTATCAGTGGATTTTACCACAGAAACTCTGCAGGCCAGAATGCAGTGGCACCATATATTCAAAGTGCTGAAAGAAAAAACTCTGCAATCAATACTCTCAGAAAGGCTACCTTTTAGAATAAAGAGCTTCCCAGACAAACAAGTTAAAAAGGAATTCATCACCATTGAACTATCCCTACAAGAAAGGTTAAGGGAGGAGGGGCATGTGCCTGGCTGGCTCAGTTGGCAGAGCATGGAATCTTGATTTTGGGATCATGAATTCAAGCCTCACATTAGATGTGGGGACTACTTAAAAAAAAATGTTAAGGGGACTTTTTGAGTGGAAACAAAGACCACAGGGACACCTGGGTGCCTCAGTGGTTGAGTATCTGCCTTTGGCTCAGGTCCTGATCCTGAGATCTGGGATTGAGTCCCATATCGAGCTCCTTGCAGGGAGCCTACATCTCCCTCTGCCTGTTTCTCGCTCATGAATAAATAAAATCTTTAAGATTTTACTTATTCATATGAGACATACACACACACACACACACACAGAGAGAGAGAGAGAGAGAGAGAGAGAGAGGCAGAGACACAGGCAGAGGGAGAGGCAGGCTCCATGCAGGGAGCTCGATGTGGGACTCGATTCTGGGTCTCCAGGATCACACCCCAGGCTGACGGTGGCACTAAACTGGTAAGCCACCAGGGCTGCCCTGAATAAATAAATAAAATCTTAAAAAAAAAAAAAAAAAAAAAAAACAAGAAAAAGGAAAAGAAAGACCATAAGTAGGAGTAAGAAAAGCAGAATGCATAAAAGCAGTAAGATTAAGTATGTCTATATAAAGCAGGCAAGGAATTTACAAAATAAAAGTGTAAAGTGTGACAGCATATATCTTCAATGTGAGGGGGAGAGAAAAATTATGAATTACATCAGTCAGAGAAAGACAAATACCTATGATTTCACTCACAAGTGGATTTTAAGAAACAAAGCAAATGAACAAAAAATAAGAGACCAAGCAAAAAACAGACTCTATAGAGAACAAATTGATGGTTACCAGAGGGAGAATGGGTGAGGGGATGGGTGAAATAGGTGAAGGGGATTAAGTACACACTTACCATGAAGAGCATTGAGTAATGTACAGAATTACTGAATCACCATATTGTAAACCTGAAACTAATGTAACACTTTATGTAACTACACTGGGATTTTTATTTTTTAATTTTTATTATTTATTTTTATTTATTTTTTACACTGGGATTTTTAAAAAGTGAAGGGATATTATTAGTAATAAACATATGCAGAAATTATGGGTGAAAACTTTCCAAATGTAGTAAAAGATCTGTACATCCAAGTTGAAGCTAACAGGTCACCTAAAAATTTCAATCCAAAAAGATCTTCTCCAAGACACATTTTAAGAGAATAGTGTAAACTCAAAAATGAGGAGAGAATTTTAAAAACAGCAAGAGAAAAATAACTTCTCTCATACAAGGGAATTCCATAAGGCTATCAGATCTCAGCAGAAACTTTGTAAGCCAGGAGAGAAAGAAATGATATATTCAAAGTGCTGAAAGAAAGAAATTAGAAAACAAGACTTGCCCAGAATTCCAGGACCAGAAGATTGTACTAGTACTTTCTTTTGAACTTTCTAATCCCTGCCCTCCAAAAAAACTTTTTAATCCCAGAGAAACCATTAAGTGTTCTAGAACATTAAAGAATGGAAAATTCCTGGAAAAAGAAGTTACTGGAAAGCTCCTGTGTGTGTGTGTGTGTGTGGGGGGGGATGCATAAAAAGAAACGGAAAACTACCTAATTCATTTTATTTAGCATAAGTTGGATACCAAAATCTGCTAAAGATATCACACATTAACAAATAAAAACAAAACTATAGACCACCATTTCCTAATCTGTTTTCTACATCAAAGCTATCACTATTGGAATTTACCAAAATTTTTTTGATAATGATCCTTGAAAAGTCTACAGATAAAGCATGCTTCCTCAACCCAAAATCTTTTTGATAATGATCCTTGAAAAGTCTACAGATAAAGCATGCTTCCTCAACATAATAAAGATTATCTATCTCAAGCCAATAGTCAATCTAATCCTTAATATAAATTTTAGAGACATTTGCACTGAAATCAGAAGCAAAACATTAACGTCCACTTTTATCACTATACTACTGGGTATGAAGATCTAACTAGAATAAATAGAACCTGAAATAAACAGGAAGTAAAATCAGAAAAAAAGATCACAAAATATTTGCAGACACATTTCTGCATGAAAAACCCAAGACTCAAAATAAAAAATCTTATAAATACAGTAACTTAGCAATACAACTGGATTCAAACTTTTTCAGACTGTAATTGCTGGTTAAAGAAATAGTAGAAAACACAGACTGAATTCACAATTTAAAAGAAGAAAAATACGTAAAAATTCACATAATTAATTTTTACTAAGCACTTATGTCCCAGGCACGGTTTTTAATTTTGGGGTACAGAAGTGAACCAACTAGACTAAGCTGATTACATTTAAGAAATGCAAGTGTGAGACTGAACGAGAGGAGCTACAAAAGTTGTATAGACAATCATACTTTGAATAAAGAGAGCTATATGACATTTTTTGGATGAAAATAGGAAATACTGAAAACGTCAATTTTTATCAAATTCAACAACTAAAGCAGAATTTCAATCATTTCGACTAAAATTATATTATAGTTGTTGAATACCTGCAAAGTGATTTAATTTATCTAGGAAAAAAATGAAAGGAAAAACAAAACAGGAAGCTTTTTTGTCTTTTTGGAAAAAAAAAATTCTGGAAAAAAATATGATATATCATCAGATGGCAGAACATTATTATATAAAGGTATAGAATTAATTAAATCTTTACCGTACTGTCACAAAAAACTGATAGGCTAATGGAACAGAATAGGTAGCCAGAAACAAACTGGCAAACTCAAGAAGTAAGCACAAAAATTTAAAAACTGTGTTACTTAAAAAAGGGGAAAAGATGGTACATAAAACTGGGGCAGAACAGTACTGGCAAAACTGGTTAAACTAGGTAGCATAAAAAATTAGAATCTCATCTCATATGATGCATTAAAATAATGAGGAATAGATTAAACATTATGTGGAAAAGAGGACAGAGTACACAAACCAGAAGGAAATACAAGTATATATTTGACTTTTGGATGGAAATTATATAAATGAAATAATAGATGACAAAAGACAAAAAAGCTGGACTAGTTAAACCTGACAAAATTGTGTACATCAAAAAACCATTATAAGCATAGTTAAAAATCAAACTACAAATGTGGAAAATCCACTATAACTACAACTAATCAATGATTAGCATCTGTACTACAAAAGGAGCTTATAGAAATAAGGAAAGACTAATAATTCAATGGAAAAATGTGCAAAAACCATTGACAGTTTACAAAAGAGTAAACGCAAAACTGATAAGATATAAGAAAAAAACTCATACCAGTATATCAAAGAAAACAAAAATATCTTTTGCTAAATTAGAACATATTTAATTATATGCAACTAATGAATTACTAAGTTCTACTTCTGAAACTAATAATATGCTATATGCTAATTAAATTGAATTTAAATATTTTATTTAAAAAATATTTAAAAGCTCAGGAATAATTAATGCTGAGAAGGTCCAATGGGACAGAAACTTTTAGAAGCTGCTAACAGAGTATAGATTGGTATGCTCTTTCTGGAACACAATTGGGCACTGTGTATTAAGATTTTTAACATCTTCATAACCATTAAACATGTATTTTGTTTCTAGAAATAGTAAGAAATATGTACAGAGTGATACATCCATATAAATATAGTCAAAATATTATAAAACCAAGAAGTGCAGAAATAACCTAACTACCCAATAGAAAGGGAATGCCTGAGTAAAATCAAAGTACATCTAAGTGATTGAATATTATATAACAATTAAAAATAACATTTATAGAATTTTAACAAAGTACAAAAATATTTGTATAATGCTAAATAGAGAAAAATATAAAAACTGGGGAAAACAGGACGCCTGGGTGGCTCAGCAGTTGAGCGCCTGCCTTTGGCCCAGGGCAGGATTCTGGAGTCCCAGGATCGAGTCTCACATCGGGCTCCCTGCATGGAATCTGCTTCTCTCTCTGCATCTCTTGTGAATAAATAAAATCTTAAAAAACAAACAAACAAAACTGGGGAAAATACTTCAAAATGTTACTATTATCTCTTGGTAACTTTCTCTTTCTTTCTTTCTTTCTTTCTTTCTTTCTTTCTTTCTTTCTTTCTTTCTCTCTCTCTCTCTCTCTCTCTCTTTCTTTCTTTCTTTCTTTCTTTCTTTCTTTCTTTCTTTCTTTCTTTCTTTCTGGATTTTATTTATTCATGAGAGACACAGGCAGAGGCTAAACCACTGAGCCACTCAGGGATCCCCCTCTTGGTAACTTTCTTATGCTTTTCTTCAATTCCAAAAATTTTCTGGAACAAGAATATATTGGTTATTTTTAGGGGGAACCTCTTAAAAATTAGACTTACCTACTTAGGAAGTAAGACATAATCCATCACATGTGAAACTGGCTGACTAGGTAAAAATTTAACAAGAATGGTTTTACAGTGTATCACATGGAAAACAAAATACTTGAATTTTAAGAAATCTTAACTTTAAAGCATAGGAGATGTTGGTATAGTAGGACCATCTTCCTATTGTAAGTTACTTGAAAAAATCACTTAGGGGCTGAAGTAATGCAGCCTATTATTTCTGCATTTTCAGTATACACAGTATGCTTATCATGATGCCTGGCAGTATGCTGCATTAAATGTGTTTTTTCTAATATTACATTAACTATCAAATACAACCTAAAGTATCATTATAATAGTAACATTTTGATGGCAGTTTAAATCTACACTATAGTATGTTATCCTTGGAGAATTCTCAATAGAACATCATATAGATATTCCCTCACTTATGATAGGGTTATAGCCTGGTAAACCCATTGTATATTGAAAGTATCTTAAGTTGAAAATGTATTTAGTACACCTAATCTACTTAACATCATAGCTTAGCCTAGCCTTACCTTAAATAAGCTGAGAACACATACGTTAAGCCTAAGTTGGGCAAAATCATCCAATACAAAGCCAATTTATATAAAATATTGAGTATTTCATGTAATTTATTGAATACCATACTGACAGTGAAAAACAGAATAGTTTTAAGTATACTGGCTGTTTACCCTCATGATTCCTTGGCTGCATGGGCGTATGAGAGAGAGAGAGAGAGAGAGAGAGAGAGAGAGAGAGAGGAGAGGGAGAGAGAGAGAAAGAACTAACTGTATAGGAGTATATCACTAGGCAGGGGGAAAAGATCAAAATGTGAAGTGCAGTTTATACTGAATGCATGTCACTTTTGCATCATCTTAAAGTCAAAAAATCCTGTCAAACCATCACAGGTTGAGGACTGTCAGTATAAAGCTAGCCAAAACTTACATTACTCTATCTTAAAAAAAGTACAGTTTTAACATGAAAAAATATAATCTTTTTTAAAGATTTATTTTTTTCATTTGACAGAGATAGAAAGCACAAATAGGGGGAACTGTAGGCAGAGGGAAAAGAAGAAACAGGCTTCCCAAGGAGCAGGAAGCCTGATGCAGGACTCCACTAGGGGCTCAATCCCAGGAACCCCCCCTCCCCCTGCCCCCAGACCATGACCAGAGCCGAAGGTAGAGGCTCAACCTCTGAGCAAGGAGTCCAAAGTGGGGCTTGATTCCAGTACCCCGGGATCATGATCCTAGCCAAATGCAGATGGTTAGCTGACAGCCATTCAGGTGCCCCCCAAAATATGATTTCATTAAAGTACAGTTTTATTAATAAGTAATTTCACTATAAAAGTATCCATAGAGTAGTTATCTTACATTACCTATTCAAAGCATTAATGTTTTTGGAGAAAAACTGCTAGCTCATGTACCTCCCCCCCCCCCCCACCTGAAGATGTATTTAAGTATTTAAGAAACACTAATTTGTGGACCTGTGACTGACATCTTCCTTTTATTGTATAAATGCTCCCAAGACAATTACCAATTTAAATATGTAAGTTAATAATATAAACCAGGTAACATCTCTTACCATGGTCTTATTTAATTGATAAAATTGTTCTGTTTCTTGAATACAGGCTTTAAAACCTTGGTGAAGTGTCGTAAGCCATTTTTAACACGGTAACAAAATAAAAGCTTTTTTCCCTTGTCTTTAGACATACCCTAAGAGCCTTTATTGAATATGTGGACATTTGTCTAGTAGAACAATGATGGTGAATGTGAGAATGCACATGTGTACATGGTATGAGTTAGTGCGTGAATGTGTGGTCAAAATAAATTGGGTAGGTGGAAAAAAAATAAATAAATAAACTGGGTAGGTGGGTAGGAATTAAAAAAATCATTAGAGGTTGGAGTAATATATATTGTTGAATCACTATATGTTAACTATACCAGAATTTAAATAAATAACTAATAAAATAACGTGAGCATCTCTCCTACAAAGTTAGCTTACTTTTTAAAATAAGCACTAGTTTACACCTCAAAATATTTAAAAATAAACGTAATTAGAAGAGATAAAACCACTCTAGAAATCAATGAGCCACATTTCTGAAATTAGTTGAAATTTATCCTTGGAATTAGTTATTGTAATGTATGGAAGTACTGAGACAGAAAATACAATTTGTATTAACAGTGGGATTAAGTTTCAGGTACTTACTGAGACTCAACTTGTTGTTTAATTTCTTGCCACTCTCCATATGGGTTTGATTTTTTGTGAGCTTTGGATTTTTCTTCATTTGGACCCGATGAATTTTGCTCTTGGATATTTTTTTCTTTCTGTGTTTCTGGTTCAGTTTCTTTATTTTTACTTTTTTCCTGAAATGTCAATGTCAAGAAATAACATACTTTAAGTAAAACTACAGGGACACCATTTCTTTAACATAATCTTATTGATTTATAAATAATAATACATTAAGTCACTTAATATTTTTAATTTGCACAAAACACAAAAAATACACATAAAAGAATTTCAATGCTCTATTAGGTTTTTTCCTCTAAAATGTTAAGATACCATGGTCAAGGCTGGTTTTTAAAATAATTTATATGATTCTATTAATGTTCCACAATTAAAGATATATACACTGGCCTTTTTTATACTCTCTTGCTTTCTCTCCTTACTTACATACCCAATAGTGATCTTCCCTTATGTGGTGCCTTTTCTGAATTTAATGCCATATCCTTAGGTTCTACTACACTCGTTATCTACTTAAAGAACTCCCTCAATTTATCAGTCTTAACTGAAATCTGTCTTCACATTCAGATGACTGCCAAAGTCTTAATGAAATATAACTGCTAAGTATGTGAAATGAGAAAAAGACACATTCTTGATGTAGAAGCAGGTCCCATGGGATCTTGCTGGGCTAGTATTTTTACAGCATCCCTTCATCTGGGAAAACAAAGCTCTATGATCCCGTTTAGCAAATGGATTCTACCCAGAGAATTCAGTCTCTTTCCAAAATGCGTAACTGTGGGTAGCAGTCCGAGGACACTGTTCTGTCTATAATTCTTTGAATGGATAGTAACTCATTCCCCCATGCTGTTCCATCATAGACCTATGAGGCAACATCGACTCTCTTTAGCATTCTTGACTATTTCCAGGCTATGACTTTTTTTTTTTTTTTTTAAGATTTTATTTATTTGTGAAAGACACACAGAGAGAGGCAGAGACACAGGCAGAGGGAGAAGCAGGCTCCGTGCAGGGAGCCTGACATGGGACTCGATCCTGGGACTGGGATCATGCCCTGGGCCGAAGGCTCACGCTCAACCGCTGAGCCACCCAGGTGTCCCTCCAGGCTGTGACTTTTATTGAGATCCTAATTTATGCTTTGATTCTACTGCAATATAATAAATGCCTCCTCCTCTGAGGTTCATACTACCTTCTATACAGTTCTGTTCCATGCTTCCTTACATGATCCAATGACCTTTGGCCACTACTCCATATTCACTGATGACTTTAACCATATTCTTTCTTTTCAAATTAATCATCCTGGACCTTAAAAATTCCCTAGCCTGTTCTGTGAGTTTCACAATCAATGACTTTGGCCTTCAACTATACTCCAGCCACCTAATGTTGTTAAGATTATTTTTCTTTGTATATAACACCTGATACATAGGTAGTATTCAAATATTAAATCCTCGCATCAATGTACCATTTAATCTATGTCATCACTCAAAAATGCCCTACCTGTAAAGTTTTAAACTCCAAAAGCACGCCCCCTTTAACCACAGTGTTTTTCTTCTGGCTTTCTGGCTCCCTTACTTCCCATACACTTTCTGTCCAACCTTGTTAGTATTTCTAATGCTTTAACTTCTCCTTATGCTCTGTGTTTGTTGACCAAGTCTAGATTTTACATCATTACAGAGCTTCACATCCATAGGGAATCATTTAATTTTTTTAAATTTTTGATCCTTTTTTATCAACAAGATCAGTGTACCCACCTTCTGTCCGGTAACTATTGGTTTGTTCTCTATAGTTAAGGGTCTGTTTCTTGGTATATCTCTCCCTCTTTTTCTTTTTTCATTCCTTTGCCTGTTTTGTTTCGTTTCTCAAATTTCACACAAGTGAGATCATATGGTATTTATCTTTCTCTGACTTATTTCACTTAGCACCATACTCTCTAGCTCCATCTCTATCATTCCAAGTGGCAAGATTTCATTCCTTTTTAATGGCTGAATATAATTTCATTATACATACATATATCACATCTCCTTTATTCATCTGTTAGTGAGCATTTGGGCAGCTTCCAGAGTTTCGCTATTGTAAATAATGCTGCAGTAAGGGGTGAGTGTATTCCTCTGAGTTAGTGTTTTTGTATTTCTGGAGTAAACATCCAGTAGTGTTGGATCCTAAAGCAGTTCTATTTTATATTTTGTGAGGAGCCTCCATACTGTATTCAACAGTGGTTGTACCAGTTTGCATTCCCACCAACAGTGCACAAGGGTTCCTTTTTCTCCACATCCTTGCTAACACCTGTTGTTTCTTTTGTTTTTGATTTTGGTCATTTTGACAGGTATGAGATGATTATTTCCTTGTAGTTTTGATTTGCATTTCCCTGATGATCAGCAATGCTGAGTATAGATTTTATATCCTTCATTAAAGAGCTCCCCATCCATAGAGAATCATTTTATAACTTTTTTTTTTTTTTTGCTGGTACCCTTAAATATCTTTGTCCTTATGTTTGTCTATTGCATGGAACCTAAAAACCTCCAACACAGACTTACCCAATCATTGGTCTGTTAAGTGTTACAGGGGGAGGGGGAAAAAAAATCACACAGACTTTAGGTTCTATAATAAAGCTTTAGCAATCAAGACAGTATGGTATTGGCACAAAATAGGCACATAAATCCATGGCACACTAACAGTAATTTAGAAATGAACAATTATATGGTCAATTAATCCTTGACAAAGTAGAAAACAATATACAATAGGAAAAAGACCATCTCCTCAAAACATGGTGCTGGGAAAACTAGTCAGGTATATGCAAAAGAATAATACCAGGCCATTTCTTATACCATACAAACAAATAAATTCAAAATACATTAAAGACCTAAATGTGAGACCTGAAACCATAAATCTTAGAAGACAGCATAGACAGTAAGGTCTCTAACATTGGCCATAGGTAGCAACATTTTTCTAGATGTCTCCTGAGGGAAGAAAATTAAAAGCAAAAATAAACTAATGGGGCTACATCAAAATAAAAAGTTTCTGCAAAGCAAAAGAAACAATCAACAAAAGACAACCTACTGAATAGGGGAAGAAATTTTGCAAATGACATAAACAATAAAAAGTTAGTATCTAAAATATATAAAGAACGTATACAAGCCAACACCCAAAAATAAATAATCAAATTAAAAATGGGCAGAAGAGATGAACAGACATTTCTCTGAAGAAGACATAGAGATGGCCAACACTTGAAAAGATGCTAAGCATCACCACATGCAGAACAAAACTGGGCCATTTCCTTACATCATACACAAAAGTAGACTCAAAATGGATGAATGACCTAAATGTAAGACAGGAATCCATCAAAATCCCAGAGAAGAACACAGGCAGCAATCTCTGTGACCTCAGCCACAGCAACTTCTTGCTAGACACATCTTCAAAGGTAAGGGAAACAAAGGCAAAAATGAACTATTAGGACTTCATCAAGATAAAAAGCTTTTCGCACAGCAAAGGAAAACAGTTGACAAAACCAAAAGACAACCAACAAAATGGGAGAAGATATTTGCAAATGTCTTATCAGATAAAAAGGCTAGTGTCCAAAATCTATAAAGAACTTACAAATTCAACACCCAAAAAACAATCCAGTCATGAAATGGGCAGAAGACACAAACAGACATTTCTCCAAAGCCATACAATGGCCAACAGATACATGAAAAAATGTTCAACATCACCTGCCATCAAGGAAATACAAATCAAAACCACAATGAGACACCACCTCACACCAGTCAGAATGGCTAAAATTAACAAGTCAGGAAATGACAGATGTTGGTGAGGATGCAGAGAAACAGAAACCCTCTACAATGTTGGTGTTGGAGGTTCCTCAAAATGTTGAAAATAGAGCTACCTCACGACCGAGCAATTGCACTACTAGGTATTTACCCCAAAGATAGAAATATAGTGATTCAAAGGGGGCACCAGCACCCCAATGCTTATAGTAGCAATGTCTATAGTAGCCAAACTATGTGAAGAGCCCAGATGTCCATCAAGAGATAAATTAATAAAGATGTGGTATGTAATACACACACACACACACACACACACACACACACTGGAATTATTACTCAGCCATCAAAAAATTGAAATCTTGCCATTTGCAATGACGTGGATGGAACTAGTGTATTATGCTAAGTAAAATAAGTCAATCAGAGAAAGATAATTATCATATGATCTCACTCATGTGAATTTAAGAAACATAACAGAGGATCATAGGGGAAGACAGGATAAAATAAGATGAAATCAAAGAGGGAGATAAACCATGAGAGACTCTTAACCATAGGAAAGAGATTGAGAGTTGCCGGAGGGGAGGAGGTAGTGGGATGGCGTAACTGGGTGATAGACATTAAGGAACGCATGTGATGTAATGAGCATTAGGTATTATATAAGACTGACAGGGATGCCTGGGTGGTTCAGTGGTTGAGCGTCTGCCTTTGGCTCAGGGCGTGATCTTGGGGTTCTGGGATCAAGTCCCACATCGGGCTCCTCACAGGGAGCCTGCTTCTCCGTGTCTCATGAATAAATAAATAAATCCTTAAAAAAAAATAAAACTGACAAATCACTGACTTCTACCTCTGAAATGAACAATATATTATATGGTAATTAACTGAATTTAGATAAAAATAATAAATAAATTTGAACTTAGATAAAAAAAAAAGATGCTCAGCACCACTGATCATCAGGGAAATGCAAATCAAAACTACAAGGATACAATCACCTCACATCTGTCAGAATGGCTAAAATCAAAAACACAAGAAATGACAGGTACTGGCAAAGACATGGAGAAAAAGGTACTTGTGCACTGTTAGTGGGAATGCAAACTGGTATAGTCACTGTGGAAAACAGTATGGAGGTTCCTCACAAAATTAAAAATACAACTGCCCTAGAATCCAATAATTATACTGCTGGATATTTGCCCAAAAAATACAAAAACATCAACTCGGAGGAATACATGTACCCTTATGTTCATTGCAACATTATTTACAAAACCCAAACTATGTAAGTGACCCAAGTGCCTATTGAGAGATGAATAAAGAAATGGTATAGGTATCTACAATGGAATATTACCATAAAAGAGGAATGAAAGCTTGTCATCTGCAACGACATGGATGGAGCTAGAGAATATGTTAAGTGAATTAAGTCAGAGAACGATAAATACCATATGATCTCACCTGTGTGGAATTTAAGAAACAAAACAAACAAGCAAAGGGGAAAAAGAGAGAGGAAGAGATAAACCAAGAAACAGACCCTTAACTACAGAAAACAAACTAATGGTTACCAGAGGGGAGGTAGGTGGGAGAATGGGTGAAATAGGTGATGGGGTTTAAGGAGTGCCTGTGTTGTGATAAGCATTGGGTGATGTACAGAATTGTTGAGTTGCTATACTATACCCCTGAAACTAATACTACACTGCATGTTTACTGGAATTAAAAAAAAAATCACACAAACATACAAACTGTTAAGACTTCAAAATTTATGATATTTAGTGTCAGCAGAGACTTTGATACTTTAGTAGTGTGTCTCCAGGTATTTCTTCCACAAGTCCCCAGTGCTTATTAAAAAGGAATATTCAGCTATATATAGCTGAGTAAATATTTATACCATAGAAACTATCCACCCATTATTTTGGTAGATGAAGATTTATTGGTGTCTTTGTGACAGATTAAACTCCAAAGTAATTAAGACATTACAGTAGGACTCCATATTTTAATTTTTTAAAAAGATTTTATATATTGAGATAGAGAAAAAGAGAGCACCCACATGCACATGAGAGAGCCTGAGAGAACAAGTAGGAGGCTGAGGCAGAGGCAGAGGAAGAAGGAAACTCTCTGATGAGCAGGGAACCTGATGCAGGGCTTGATCCCAGGAGCCTGGGATCATGACTGAGCAGAAGGCAGAGACCCAACTGACTGAGCCACCTAGACACCCCCAGTATGACTCTGTATTTTAAAATATGTATGTAAGTCTGAATTAAAAAAATTATAGACCAAGAAAATACCAAGATCTTACAGTGATTTTTCTGGGAAGTGGCAGGGTTATAGGTAGTTTGTCTTTGTTTACCTGTATTTTGTAATATTTTATTTGGTTGAAATTTAATAATATCTGTCCAGATTGGATGCTGGGTATAAACATTGTGAGATGGGGGTACTTGGCTGGCTCAGTTAGTTGGTAGAGCATGTGACTCTTGAGCTCAGGTTATGAGTACACCCCGTGTTGGGTGTACTTTAAAAAAAAAAAAAGATATTACTTAAAAAAAAAAATAAAAAAAAAAATCCTACAAAAGAAAATAAAAAAAGAACGAAAGAATATAAACATTGTGAGATGGTTACTATAGGCGCTTTGTTGCTGCTCCTCTACAAACCAAGAATTATGGGGTAAGCAGGAAAACTCCCGGCAAGGAAAAGATCCTAGGTGTGGCCTGGAAGTACCCTCTCTCTAGCATCTTTGAATTTCCTTCACTTCTCAGGCCAGTAATGTCACCCAAGATCAATGTGATGTATCTTTTTTGCTTTGCCACCTGGGCTCCTCACTGTTCCTGGAAAGATCACAAAACAGGACTAGCAATAGTATAGAAAGGTCTAATTTTTTCCTACCATGGCTACCAGCAACTCCTGTCAATTCTTTTACTTGGTACATTTCCTCTCCCACCCCAGCTCAGTGACTGTTTCAATCCATTAATGCCTTCAGAGACGCAGGGTCTTGGGTCGTCGGAATGTAGGTGACATATGGATCTTCTTTTTTTTTTGTGACTGTACATGCCTTTCAGCACTGCTTTCTTAGCTTTCAAAGCCTTTGCTTTGGCTTCAGCTTTGGGAGGGGCAGGGGCTTCCTTCTTCGGCTTCGGTGCCATCTTCATGAAAGGGCTACACATTGACTCTTAATCATGAGAGATTTATGGTGGTGATGTTTTCATTAAGAGGGACTCCAAAGGAGGTACAAAGGGAATACCAACAAGGGTGGGTGGATAGGTTGGTCTTGAACAAAGAATAAACTCATTTCCAGTAAGAAGGTAAAGTATGGTTTTTCTTTTCTGTAAGAGGGGAAGACTATGGATGAGTTGGTATCAGGGAGGAAATTAAAAGAGTTTCTCCCTTTTAGTCTCATTTATTAAGAAATCAAGATTGCTTGCTGAAGAGTCAGGAACTTTGAGGAGCTTGACAACATTAATGGACTGAAACAGAAGAGTGCCCCCAGGAGAAACAAGCTTGATCACTCTGCCATCATTAAGTTCCCCCGACTACTGTGTCAGCCATGAAGAAAATAGAAGATAACAACACACTTGTGTTCATTGTGGATGTCAAGGCCAATAAGCACCAGATCAAACAGGCTGTGATGAAGCTCTATGACATTGATGTGGCCAAGGTCAACACCTTGATCAGGCCTGATGGAGAGAAGAAAGCGTATGTTCGACTGGCTTCTGACTATTGCTTTGGATGTTGCCAACAAAATTGGGATCATCTAAACTGAATCCAGCTGGCTATAAATCTAAATATAAATTTTTTTCACCATAAAAAAAAAAAGTCAATGTGCAGCCACCATCCTGCCAAGTAATTTCTAGTTTTCACTTCATATCCAAACCGTATACATACCACGAACCACTTTTCATTCCTATTATAATCGGAGTTCCTTATTTATTTTTTAAAGTTTTTATTCAAATTCCAATTAGATGGGACGCCTGGGTGGCTCAGTGGTTTAGCATCAGCCTTCGGCCCAGGATGTGATCCTGGAGTCCTGGGATGGAGTCCCATATAGGGCTCCCTGCATGGAGCCTGCTTCTCCCTCTGCCTGTGTCTCTGTCTCTCTTTCTCTGTGTCTCTCATGAATAAATAAAATCTTTACAAAAAAAAAAAAAAACACACAAAAATTTCCAATTAGTTAAGATAGAATCTAATGTTAGCTCAGGTGTACAATATAATCTGAGTTCTGCCAAGCCAAACCCCAGTGAAGCTACTAGAAGGGCTTAAAGGACTTCTTAACTGTAAAATTCAACAGACATTTTTCTTGTTCCAGACCTAATAAATCCTTGACACTCTCTATTCCTTTGGCTTCTTGGGTCTTAAATTCTTCTGCCTCTCTGCATAGCTTTCTAGCCACTCTTTTCATTATGGGCTCCTCTTTCCCTGCCTGTCACTTAAATGTTTAATGTTGCCCAAAGTCACTTCCCTAGATTATCTCACCTTTTCTGAGATTTAAATTACTACCAGTATGCTGATGATACTCAAATTAGTAGTTCTAGCCCAGATACTCAGACTTGTATGTTCAGATAACTCTCTAGATGTTATAGAAGTATCTGGGCTTTATTTCTATCTTCCACCAGAAAAGTGAGTAATTCTGTTGAGTTTCCTATAAATTGGTAAAGTTCTGTAAAGAGTAAACCAAGAACTTACCTTAAACTTTATTTTTGGCTTTTGTGTTTCTGTAGAGGCCTCTCCTTTTTCTGCTTCCTCTTCCCCATCAGAATCACTATGAGAACCTGATGATTTAGACTCTTCTAGGGTACCAACTGACTTTTCATTGACCTTACTAGAAAGCAGATCGCCAGAGTGTGGAATGAAATCATCAGGTTTTTCCCATCTGGATTCTATTCAACACATTTTAATAGTCATGTTATTTAGTTACCAATTCTATTTAGAAGTAATTCTCAATAGAACACTCCCTGTCACTTACAAATGTATTATTTTTTTAACTCCCTCCCCCCCAATATATTAAGCAATGATACTATATCTATTTCACACTATCACTTGAACAAGAAGATGATAAATAAGAGTTCCCAAAGCTCTTGCTCTTTTATCTTTTAGAGGTTGATTTCAATCTGGATTCCAGATGATTAAACTACAGCCCAATGGAAAGAGACCTAAGAACTGGGCAGTACCATCAAATGACTCTCACACTTTATCTGACACCAAAATCAGGAAACATGCTAATGAAACAGATCCTGGAATTTACTTATCACAAAGATTTCCTGGGATCCTCAAAGAGTGAGATTATACTGTGAATCACCTGAATGAATAGAGATTGTCATTTTTATGCTAGGAAAAAAATAACCTCCATTGAACTCTACTGCCATCCAGTGGTTTACTGGGCTTTTAGTGAAATGATAGCATTTCTAATTCTCTTGCAGTTATTCTCTATTTTTAGTGTAATAAAAGGGAGAGGGATTCTAAGCTTTACTGTCCAACTCAGAGAGTCTTAAGAGTGAAATTAATTATTAAATTAATTAATAATTACACTTGTCTACTGATGAACTGAAACTGTTTGAGAGCAAATTAATTCGTATGGTTTCTTATTAAAAGAGGATGCTTTCCAGGGCAACTGGCTGGCTCAATCAGTGGAACATGCGACTCTTGGTCCCAGTATTTTAAGTTTGAGCCCCATACTGGTGTAGAGATTACTTAAAAAATAAAATCTTAAAAAAAAGGTAAGAAGGTGCTTTCCAACATTATTTCACATAAGCAACAAAAACCTTCAGGAAAAAATTTATTAAGCACCCACTACATATCTAGTACTGTTCTGGAGCTTTAGAGACACCTGACCTTCATGACCCAACTGGATCATCTCAATCGCCTAAGAGCAACTATAAGTTCAGTGACTTGCCCACCTTCATAGAGCTAGTAAGGGAAGATGCTATGCATTGAGCTCAGATCCCACTCTCCACCTAATATTATATCACTGTATTATTTTATCTTTAAAAAGATTCAGGACCTCAATTTTACTTAGCTAGAACCATTACTATCGTTGGGCAGGCTAGGTATCTATTTGGATACCTAGTAGAGGTCTAGGTAAGAGGACCTTTTCCTCCTAAAAGATTTAATGCTGTGGGTTTAGATAGTAGAAATTTAATAAATAAATAAAGCTTCCCAAAGTTATATTGATACAATATGTATTTTGGTAAATTTAATTGTAGTAGAAACTAATACAATTACTTGCTAACCCATTTTATAAAACTAAATTTGAAAAACTTTGATAATAAAGTAACAATAGTTAGGCATGTTTTACATTGACATATAATTAAAACATTATTAGATTAATAAATGTGAAAATTTGACAATCTTAGCCACTGCTAAAATAACTTCAGTTTTGTTTTAGTGGCTAAAATAACTTGTTTTATTTTAGAAAATGAAAAGGCAAGTTGAGTTAGGTGATTTCTAAGACATCTTTCAAGGTAGTGATTATATTTCTACAATAATCATGATAAAAGTAATAATGGTAGAAAAAGTAAAAATGATTTTTAATATTTGTGAGGTATCAATTGAGAATGAGCAGCACATTAACTCTATGAAAATCTTACCTTTTCATTGTATTGTTTTTAAATGACAAATTAATACACACATGCTATAGATATTATATTGATCACTATGATAAAAATTCCTAAGTCCCCTTCATCAGTAGGTTAATTAGCAGTTCCAGGTACAATTTTATATAGTTAGGATACTCAAAGATAATACTTACCTCCTGTTTCTGTATTATAATAGTAGGTATAACCATCTTCGCTTACACCTTCTACCCAAACAGTCTTTGCTGCTGTCTAATGGAAGGAAAAAACCAGCATAAACTGAAGATAATGATGTAGTTACTCTATATTAAGTAACTAAGGCGGAGAGTCAGCTACCTTTCCTTTCCTCTTTACACCTGGGAGTTAGGGGTGGCAGTACTGATTATGGCCAGGAAGCCTGGTTTGGGTTAATCATGAAACAACCAACTTTCAGAGAGGAAATGTCTCATCTCGGAAAGACAGGAACAATGCTTTGCAGATGGACAGGGACATCTGAATGGCAACTGACTATAAATCAACTGATAGTATTTGTCCTGCATGGAGTTTTTAGGTAGACATCACTTTTACACCTCCACATAGCCTTCTCACAAAAGGATTCTAGGAAGAAAGGAATAAAGTGCCTGCAGGGAGGCTTATTTGGAAATAAATCTGCTTAACAAAACTCTTTTATAAAAATCCCAGAAACCAATCAACTTAAACCAAAGACACTATCAATGTGCCTCAGTTACCTTTTTTAAGTTTCCTTGAAATCCTTCAGGTCTCTCCCACTGGGATGCTTAAAACAAAGTTGATTGCATTAATACAAATTTTTCACTTAAAAAGAAAAACTTCTCATAAACTTTAACTTGGCAAAAATTTACAAGACATTCAATGTGTACAAAACACTACAGGCCTGTAAGTTAAACATGTAATTGGAAAAAAGGGCACCTCACTGGCTCAGTAGTTGAGCATCTGTCTTTGGATCAGGTTGCACCCTCAAGGTCCTAGGACTGAGTCCTGCATTGGGCCCCTGCAGAGAGCCTGCTTCTCCCTCTGCCTGTGTCTCTGCCTCTCTCTCTCTTTCATGAATAAAAAAGAAAAAATAAAAATAAAAAAGAAACAACATATATCCCAGGGTCAGGGCATAGGGAGAGAACCCTAAGCAGACATACCAGGGAGAGTGTAGCCCGGCATGGGGCTTGATCTTGATCCCATGACTCATGGGATGATGACCTTTGCCAAAACCAAGAATCCAATACTCAACTGACTGAGCCATCCATGTGCTCCCCAGGCTTGAAAAGTCTTTAAAAGTTATTTACTTATTTATTTTTTGGTAATCTCTACACTCAACATGGGGTTCAAACTCATGACGCCAAGACTAAGAGGCATGTGCTTTTCCGACTGAGCTAGCCTGGTACCTCAGGCTTGATAAGTTTTGAAGGAACGAAATGACTACTTGACATCTTGGGGAGGGGAGAGTGAGAAATAGAACGAATGACTCAAGAGAAGCAAGATAAAAGATCCAAGAATTAAAAACAAAGACAGCTGATCCTTGAACAACATGGGTTTGGACTGTGTAAGTCCACCTATAAGCAGATTTTTTTCAATAGATCTATTGGAAATTTTTTTTAGAGATTTGTGAGTTTGAAAAAAAAACACAGATGAACCATGTCGTCTAGAAATACCCAAGAAATTAAGAAAAAGGTATTACTATGAAAATATAGCAATATAATACATATAACACACAAAATATGTGTCAAACAACTGTTTATGTTATCTGTAAGACTTCCAATCAACAGTAGGCTATTAGTTAAGTTTTTAGGGAGTCAAGATATAAAGTACCATATGATCCCATAATTTTGCTATGGGCATATACTCAAAGAAAATGAAAACAGTAACTTGAAAAAGATAAATGCACCCCTGTTTATTGTAGTATAATTTATAATATATAATACAGAAGCAACCCAAGTGCTCATTGATAGATGGATAAAAATGTGATACATATATTTCTCTCTCTCTCTCCCTCTCTCTCCCTCTCTCACACACACACACACACATTACTCAGCCATGAAAAAGAAAATCTTGCCATTTCTGACAGCATGAATGAACCCAGAGATTCAATGCTAAGTGATAAGATCAAACAGAGAAAGACAAATGCCAAATGATTTCACTTACATGTATAGTCTAAAAAACAAAACAAAAAAAACAGACTCTTAAATATTAAGAGGTGGTAGTTGCCAGAAGGGAGGTGGATAGGGGGACAGGTGAAATAGGTGAAGGGGATAAGCAGTTTCAAACTTCTAGTTATAAAATAAATAAGCCATGGAGATGAAGAAAAGGACAGTAGAGTCAATACAACTGCAATAACACTGTATGGTGATTACATCTGTGAGCAGGGATTAATGTACAGAATTGTCACAACACTGTATTGTACACCTGAAACTACTATAACACTGTATGTCAACTATATTTTTTTAAAAAGTTATAAGCAGATTTTTGACTGCATGGGGTAGGGAAGGGTCAGTGCCTCTAACATCTGTGCTGTCCAAGGGTTTTGCTGAGAGCAAGGGTATATGCAGTAGGATAGTGAACAAAGGAAGCAAGTAATAGGAATTAGAGGGGAGAAATACATATTAAGAGCTTTTAAAAATCTTTTTTGAGAAATATTTTTTTATTTTAGAAAGAGGGAAGAAGAGAGAGTTGCCTGGGAGAGGGTGGGAGAGGGGACAGAGGGAATGGGAAAAAGAGAATCTCAAGCGGACTCCACGCTGAGCCAGGAGCCCAACGTGGGGCTCCATCCTATTACCCCGAGATCATGACCTGAGCCGAAATCAAGAATTGGATGCTTAACTGACTGAGTCTTCCAGGTGCCCCATTAATAAATAGTTTCTATGTAAATTTGAGAAAGAGACTTATGATCCTTAGCATATAATCATTTGTGGTTCACTGCTAAACTAACATGCACTTCCCTTAAGGCTCAGTGCAAACTGAGTGATTACTATTTCTCTGTAGTCCAAAACTGACTGTGATTCTAAAAATCCTCAGTTATAGTAATATTTATAGCCCATGGTTTTCTTCATGATTAACTTTGATCTCATTTCCTATCATTCTGATCATTCTTAACTTTTTTTCTGGCTTTTCTTCTATTTGTTCAATATATGTACTACCTACCCCTTATATTTGTCTTCTTTCTCCTTGTGTTCTCAAATACTCCTAAAAGTTAAGATATTATTTACATTTCTAGACTCAACTTATCTCCCTAATTCCAGGCTCTAATCAGCTACTGAAAACTTCCACATGAATGTTCTAGAAGTACCTCAACCTCAACATACCAAAACCTGAATTCATTATTGTCCCACTTTAATTTACTCTATCTCTGTATTCCATACCTCAGTAAATGGCACTATCGTCCTCCTAACCCTCTTTGACAAAACCCCATCTATTTTTCCAGCCTCTTTCTTCTGCTATGACATCTTCAAAGAACTATATATTTTACCTCCATCAGATGACTATTTTCTAAACTTTCAAACTTTTTAAGGCTTCATATTGTTCCACCTGTTTGGAATGCTTGCTTTACCCTCATAACAACCTGCTATAATTTTTTTCAATTAAGTATCTATGAAATGTCCAGGCACTGTGTTTGGTGCTAGGGATACAAATGGTGAATAAGATGGCATCATTCTTTATGCTCTCCTCTTAATGTATTGATTAGTTCAAAAGTAATTACTGTGATAATCTCTCAGATCCACATATTTACAATTAATAACTGACCATTCTAAGTTCCTAAACAATCTTACTTACATCTCTGTTATAGCACTTTAAAGTTCCTCTTTGTATCATGCTTACTTCTGACCTTAAATTTTCTATTTCTGGAAAGCAAGATGCTACATAAATGAATAATGTATTTACTAATCTCAGAATTTATATGAAAAAATCCCTAATACATTTAGTTTTAAAGGAAAACAAAAAGATGCTTTTGATATTCCTACTGGAAAACACCATTGTGTATTTTATTAGAAAGTGATATCCAAAACATAAATAGGAGTCAGGGGGTTCTTTACTATAAGATAGCTACACAAAAAAGAAAATGGTTCTGGTTCCCAATCTGCTTTTGGATAGAAAATCTCTCCAACATAATATTTTCTTTTAGTAACCCCCTGCAATTTGTAAAATAGATCTGAAATGCCTTATTTTTCTGTAAAATTCTTCATTTCCATAGCTCATACTTTTAGAAGATTTTATTGAGAAAATATAAAGCTTTAACTTATTTGTAAGGAACCTATTTTTTTTTTTTTTAAGAATTTTTTATTTGTGAGAGAGACAGAGAGCAAGCAAGAGCATGAGCAGGGTGGGTGGAGGCAGAGCAAGAAGGAGAAGCAGACTCCCCATTAAGCAAGGAGCCTGATGCGGACCTGTGGGGCTCAATCCCAGGACCCTGAGATCATGACCCAAGCCGAAGGCTTAACCAACTGAGCCATCCAGGCACCCCATAAGGAACCCATTCTTAATGCTTTAACTAAGTATGACACTGAGTCATTTTAAGAAGGGACCTTTTATTTATTTTTATTTTTTAAATTTATTTATGATAGAGAGACAGACAGACACAGGCAGAGGGATAAGCAGGCTCCATGCTGGGAGCCTGATGTGGGACTCGATCCCGGGACTCCAGGATCGTGCCCTGGGCCAAAGGCAGGCGCTAAACCGTTGAGCCACCTGCGGATCCCCAAGATCTTTTAAAGGGCACCTAACTTTTTTACAATTGTGTCAAAGATATACAGTCAGTTTTTCATTGCTTAAATGTCCTGATATTAACTAAAACAAAAAAATAAAGTTATCACTTTTACTAGTTCTACGCCTAAATGACCTACCTCCTGTGATAAGATCATAATAGTAGTGGTAACCCTCGGAGGTTATGCCTTCTACCCATCTGCCCTTTGAAGGGTCTTTTTTCTTTTTCTTCTTTTCCTTCGGCTGATTTGATGCAGAGGTGGGTGGGACAGTGCTTGTTACTGGTGATATGCTTGGTTCTGAAATTTCTAGAGAAGAAGTTATAAGAAAGGTAAAGTACCAATAACTTTTTTTCCCCTGGTATAAAGCATTAATATGTTATTCCAATCAAAAGCTTGACAAGATTATTCTTTTGGGAATTTGACAGACTATAATAAAGCTCATCTAGAAAACCAAATATGCAAATATCCAGAATTATAAAACAGAAGTGATAAAGGGAACCTAGTTCTATCAGATGTTAACTTATTCTGCAACAACTAGTACCAAAAAAAAAAACAAAACAAAATAAAAAAAACTAAAACTGATCCAAGCATAGGCAAACATATGACTGAAACAGAACAAAGAGTAGAGAAAATAAATCCAAATGCAGATTCCTGGTGTTTCTCATTAGAAAGAAGATCATTTAACAAATGATGTTGGATAAACTGGTTAATTATTTGGAAAAAAGTAAGGCTATTCCCCACTCCATGGCCCCTCCCATATTCAGACATCAACATAAACTCAGATCAAAAATATATATGAAAAAAAATTACACAGGAAAATAACATTAAACTACATACAAATCCAAAAAAAAGAAAAAACTACATACAAATCCAAACATTTTGTATAGCAAAAATAAAAACAAAACAATATAACACTATGTTAATTGAAATGGAATCAAAACAACAACAACAAAAAAGACAATGAATATTTACAACAAATATGGCTCATGGCTAATGCTCGTAATAAAGATTCTTTACAAAGAAATCCAACATTCTATTATTCTATTGGAAGATGGACAAAAAGTACAAAGACAGGACAGCTTGGTATTAGCTATCAATATAAAAAATATACTCATAGTTTGATTCTGCAATCTGATGTCTACAGATTAAATTTACAGAGAAAAATGTGAAAACATGCCTGCATAAGGGTGCTTGCTGAAACATTCTTTCTAATAGTGAATATTCTAAAGCAATCTAAATGTTAGTCTGGAAGAGATTAGTTAATTAAGTTATAGCACTTTTATGGCATTTTGTTATGGTATTTTATACCCTTTATTAAACTTTATTAAATACTTATTACTAGTGGTCACTATAATAAACAGTTTATACCATTGCATTACTCAGTACTTGTGAAAATTGTAGCTAGCATGTGGCAATTCTGGTGGATTCCAAAGTATGTGCTCCTAGCCACTAAACATGATATACATTCTTAATTATTAAAGAAAGTATTTGACATGTTATTGAGGGAAAAAATAAAACCACCTCCAAATAGACTATAACGTGGAATAATATAACTTAAAAAGAAAATTCTAAAGATGTCTGGGATAATCTTAAAAGCAGTTAGTTTCTAAAAGTCTTTTCTTTATACTGCATTATTACACTTCTTAGAGGAATGTATATCCTATTTAAGAAAACAAGGCAAAAAAAAAAAGGCTATGAAAAAAAATAAAAGTCCTATTTAAATACAAAATGCTAAGATCTATTTGCTCAAAAGGCAACATAAGGAAACCTCCCAATCCATAAAATTGATGAGATGAATTTTCACCTACTCCTCTTTAATTCTGCAGGAACACCTGTATCATTTTTCTCCTTTAAACATATAGCTTTATCCTCATGGAAATACAGCACCCACTGCTTCCTTTTAACTAACAATGTCCAGAATAATATTTTTAAAGTCTGGTTACAACTGTTCTTATTTGATGAGGCCAATGCCAATTAGCTTGTTATTCTGCTTAAAACTTGGAAGAAATTTTTAGAGAGTAAAGGATGTCATTCTGTGTTACTATCTCAACTATTATGCAAGGTCAACTGGGACTGCTATATGCTTGGTTTAAGGACAATGGATTTGTCATGGAAGAAATGCTGACAGAAAAGTTCCGAGTTAAAGCCTAAATTCATCAAAGATATAGATACAGTCTACTTAAATAAGTACCTTTTATCTGGAACTGAGTTACCTTCAAACCCTCAAATTATTTACCTTCTTGCTGGTGATCAAGTGGTAAAAAGGGAATCCCTTTATACTGTTAGTGTATGGAAACTGGCCCAACCACTATGGAGCACATATGAAGATTCCTCAAAAAATTAAAAATAGATCCACCATACGACCCAACAATTTCACTTCTGGGTATATACTCATAGGCTATATAAGCAGGATTTCAAAGAGATATTTGCACTCCCATACTTACTACAGCATTACTCATAACAGCCAAGAAATGGAAATAACCTTAATTCCTATCAACCAGATGAATGGATAAAAAAGATGTAGTACGTATACATAATGGGATACTATTCAGACATGAGAAAGGAGGATATCTTGCCATTTGCAACAATGTGGATGGAACCTGAACATTATTACAAATGAGATAAGTCAGACCAAGAGAAGACAAGCATAGTGTGTCACTTGTATGTGGAATCTAAAAAAGTCAAACTCATAAAACCAGAAAGTAAAACTTTTTCCAGGGGACAGGGGGTTTAGGAGTTAAGGCTGATACTGTTTAAGGGTATAAACTTCCAATTAGTACATAAACCATAGAGATTTAATGCACAGTATAAGGAATACAGACAGTAATATGGTAATTAGGTAAAGTGGTAAATATTGTTACAGTAGCATTCATATTACAATACATAAATGTATCAAAGTAACACCTGTATATCCTAAACTCATAGTGTTCTATGAATTTATCCAATTATAAAAGTTATCTACCTTCCAGCGGTGAAATCAGTAAATTTGTCCACAAAAGGCTAATTCACTATAACTCAATCATACAAACAAACGTAATTCATAGTTTTAACCATATGGATAAAGCAAACCATGGTTATAATGCAAGGCCTATTTTTTAATGAATAGCTCCTTTTAGCCAAATACCTAAAAAACTCAACTGTGTCTGAAATGAACACTGACCTAAGACAGAATCAGGACTAGCTAACCACCAAGGTAGGATGGTTGTGAATGGAGGTGTAAAAAGATGAAGTTTAAAAGTAAAACAAAAGTGCATGACCCAAGTCCCACAGTCTAAATACAGCTATGATGCATAGGAAAAGGACTAAGAGTTTACCCTGAGTGTATAACCTCTTTATGGAAACAATAAAAGCTCACTGAGCATGACCTCTGATGTTAGTTTTAAAACATGCTGGCTGCTTTTTTACCTGACTCCAAGCCAAGCCTTTTCAAATCCTCTTGGTATGCTTTCAGGGCAGCTGCCTCCATTGCGGCAAACTCCTTTGATGCCTTTTCTTCTTCCTTTGCCTTATCCAGACTTTTCTGTTTAATCTATGGAAGACACATATAAAAGTGAAAGTCAGATAAAGGACTGATATTTACATAGAAAAACTGGCAAAGAAAGAAATAAAATTACCTCACTAATCCTCTTTGCCACATTTTCCTTATGATTTTTTCCTCTTTCGTGAAATTCAACGCTCTTGAATAAAAGAGAAAATGCAAGGAAAGCATCATAAACATCATAATGTTCACAGTAAATATGGGGATAGAACATACCAAAACTGAAATTAAAACGACTGACAAATATAATTTTAATGCAAATTGGTTCTTTTTATTAAATGATGCCAGGGAACTGAACCAAGTTATTTATTATTATACCCTCAGGTGCTTAAAATAAACTATGATGACCATATAAATGGAGAAAAACCCAAGGTACCCTTGATGACTTATCTAGTGAATATGATTGTAAGCAGGACTCAAACAAGACATGAAGCCAAATGAGGAGTGGAAAAAAATAACCACCTCAAGAAATACTTCTCAACAAAAAATGTCAAAACCAGTAAGCCCCTAGAATTTGCAATGCTCTAGAGACATAGAGAATAAACAATAATGCTTAGAACTTTACTCCTCCAAATTGGGAGAAAAGACAGTAAGGAATTCCTTCTAAATTGTAAACAAATATTTTTTATACAATGTAGTAATGGTACAAAATGTATAACTCCTATGGAGGAAAATCTGGCACTATCTACCAAAATTTGGCTGCTGGAATAGAGAACAAAGCTCCCTATATACTCATGTGGAAAGCGCTCCAAGATTTACTGTTCAATTAGAAAAACAAACACACACCAAACTATGGTAAAGGGTGGTGTGTATGATATCCTACCATTTTATGTATGTTGGAATAATAACTGTATATGCATCAAAAACAATGAAGAATGCACAACAAAATGAAAAAAGCAATAACCTACAAAGAATGATGGTGACTGGATGGGACAAAGGAGTGAGTAAATGTTATTACTTATTTAAAACAGCAAAGAATGCTCCCTAAATTACAAATGTCTGGTTGTATGCAATAAGAAATTTCTGGTAAACTTTGGAATATAAATTCTGTCAATCAAATCTTAGCTAAGCTATCCTAAGGTACTACCATGAACTCCTCTTTAAAGTGAGACATTGTAAAACAAAGGATCATCTATTTCTCATGTATCAGGTTTCTTAAAGTTAATTACACCACACAAAGGATATTAAGGGCACATTTGAAAACAAACTTTGTTTCTTTTTTTTTTTTTTTTAATTTTTTTTTTTATTATTTATTTATGATAGTCATACAGAGAGAGAGAGAGAGAGAGGCAGAGACACAGGCAGAGAGAGAAGCAGGCTCCATGCACCGGGAGCCCGACGTGGGATTCGATCCTGGGTCTCCAGGATCGCGCCCTGGGCCAAAGGCAGGCGCCAAACCACTGCGCCACCCAGGGATCCCACAAACTTTGTTTCTAATTAAAGGTTAAATTGATGTATATTAGCAATCCAAGGAGAAGAAAGATTATCCTAAAAGGGATTATTTATTCTTCATGATTCCTAATATTCATTGAGCTGCTAGGGTACCTCAAAGAAAGAGAAACTATCGGCGATTTGTATGGATTTCAAGATTTGTGGCATTTATGTGTAAGGATGGCCTAAGTTAAACAAGACGGCTGAGAACTTTAGCAACTATTTAAAAGATCCAACACCATAATAAAACCTGGAAAAAAAAAAATAAAACCTGGAAAAAATATCCCCAAACTTCTTGTAGGCAGTAGTAAATAAATGTCTACTCTACCAAAGAAACATGACATTGTTAAAAACACAGCTACTGTTCTGTTCTGCATGCATCTCTATCAAGTAAAAAAGATGTGAATATACCTTTAAAAAATACCCTAGCATTTATGTACTATGTATACATTATAACGACAGGCACCTAAAGGGGGGAAAAAAAAAATCAGTGGTGCTTTTTAAGTCTTAAAAGCTTAATCAAGATTAAGAGATACAGTAATAAGGTGTGTTAATAGAGCTGCTATTTTCATATTCTAGGAAAATAGATGTTCTTTAAAATTTAACCATTTATAGCTATAAAGCTCTGCAAATATATTTAATTATCTCTGAGGTAGAAAAGATACAAAATAAACTACACTAATGTTTCCTTTTACATATTAAGGGCTTTGCCCTTTTGTTTCTCTGTATATGGCCCTATTACAAACAACACATCATCATTATGGATAAATATGGATGAGATTATCCACTCAATGTCCATTTTCTTTATCTTTTATTTTATTTTTTAAAGATTTTATTTTATTTTTATTTTTATTTATTTATTTATTTTTTATTTATTTATGATAGGCAGAGACACAGGCAGAGGGAGAAGCAGGCTACATGCAGGGAGCCTGAGCGGGACTATCCCTGGACCCCGGGGTCACACCCCGGGGGGCTGAAGGTGGTGCTAAACTGCTGCGCCACCCAGGCTGCCCCAATGTCCATTTTCTGAATGTGACTAATGGACCACAGAGAAATAATTTGTCTTAATATCATAATCTAGTTTAAGGATGAAAAGGAAGAAGGCCCACAGCTTTCCTACAAGAAATGAAAAGAGACATCTTTCAATGTTTTGAAAAATCAGGAGCAAGGTCTATGAAGGTGCTTCGTAAATACTGAGTTTAGATACAAAAAAACAAAAACCAACAACAACAAAACAAAACACAGGAAAACGCTATTTTTAACAGCGGAATTATCATACAGGCCTATTGTCCGCTATCCAACACTTGCAGTAATCACAGAACTTCTTTGGCTGCGACTTCCAGTAGTCTGCCCTGAAAAAGGGAAAAACAGGTCTTAAATTCACAATTTAAGAAGGTGAAACTGGGCGTGTTTTTTACCTCCTCTTCGAGTCTAGAACATAAGCCTCTGCTACTGGTTCTCCTCTCATCACACACATTACCCTGTTGTATTTATCTCACTGCAGCAGTTAAGCTGAAACTGTTGCCACTATAAAAGAAAAAAAAAACTGCACGGGATTTAAAACTCCCTTAAAAAAATAAAACAAAAATAAATCTCCCTTAAATAAAATTGCTTAAAAAAAAGTGTTTTTTGTTTTTGTTTTTTTCTCAGTGGCCACTGTCATCAGTGTGAAGAAACAAGAAAACATCTTGCAAAAGACTCCTCTATGCCTTTCTGGCATTTTTTTTTTGGGGGGGGGGAGGTTTGCCTTACTGGGAGGCCCGAAGAAAAACGCAAAAAGTTTGCTTTCAGCCGAGTTATTTCCACCCAAAGAACAAAGAACAAGACTCCTCTAGGGGCCGACCGGTTCCTCCCAGACCATCAGTTAATGCAATTTGTTCTTGAGCCTCAGGGCAGGGCAGGAGAGCTGGAAGAGCCTAGGGACCTCTCGGCCTGCAGGAACCCGGGGGGGGGGGGGGGGGGCGGGGGCCACTATGCTAAGTACCCGAGACCGCCCGTTTCCACCCGGCGGGGAAGGCGGCGTTCCGACCCTAAAGTTTCGCAATTCCCCAGGGTTCCAGCGCTACGGCAAGGAACAGGGTGCTTGCGACCCCCGCCTGTGCAAGCGGGGGAGCACCGGGCTGGGGGGGGGTCCGGCCCCTCCGCCCGCACCGCCCGCCTCCCCCTGCAAGCCCGCGCGCGCTCCAGGCCCCCGGGGCGCTCCGCGGGGCAGCACGTCTACCCGCCCAGAGAACCGGCCCTGCCGGTCTGCGGCCGGTCCCGAGCGAGTTAAGAGCACCTCCGTCACGCCTCCAGCCCGGGGGAGGAGGAGGAAGAGGAGGAGGAGGCGGCGGCGGGGGGGGGGGATGGATGGGGCGAGACCCGGCGGAGAAAGGGCCGCCCAGGGCAACAACGCCTCGTTGTTCAGAGCCCGACACCCGACTCACATGACCGTGGCTCAGTCGCTCCGCGCGTCGCCGCCCCTTCCCCGGGGGGACGGCGGGGCGGGTCCGGCTCCAGCTCGTGTCCCCCACGCGGGGCCGCTCCGAGCCCCGCGCGCCGCGAGGCCCACCCGCGCCTCCCAAGCCGGGACGCCTCCCTCCGCGGCCCGGGACCAGGTTCCCCGGTTCCCAACTACGGGTGCCCCGGAGACTCAATCCGCGTTCGGAGTCTCCTCCCTTCCCCTGCCCCTCCCCCTACGGGGCGGGGCTGCGGGCGCCCGGGAGGTGGGGGCGGTATAAAGGGGTTGAGGTCACCGGCCAGGGGCGAACGCGCGACGGGACCTGAGCCGGAGGACGGGGGGCGTCCCGCCGCGAGTCCCCGCATCTTCCCCCCCCGCCCCGTCTCTCTCTCTCTCTCTCTCCCCCTCTCCGGGATCCAGAACCTACACGTTCTTCTAGGCTCGCTGGCTCGCGGCCAGGGAGCTCGCGCGCCGCCTCCGCCCCGAACGCGAACAGCTGTTCCCCGAGACGTCGCCGCCCTCAACTTTTGCCAACTAGTCCGCACGCACTTTGGCCGGCGAAGCGGCCCGGACCTGTAGGCGGGGCGCGGCGGGGCGCGGCGGGGCGCCCCGGGGCGGGGGCGGGGGCGGGGGCGGGGGGGCCGTCGGCGGAGCTGGGAACCGAGAGGTGAAGCAGCTGCTTTCGGGGCCGCGAGTGGCCGGGCTTCGCCTCAGAACTTTCCGGAGGCGGTGGAGCGGCCCCGCCCCCCCCCCCCCGCGACGCCCGCGCGCACGGGCCGGGCTGGTTCCTTCGCTGGCGGAGCGCGTGGGCGGCGGCGGCGGCGGCGGCGGCGGCTGCTGAGGGGCGCAGCGGCGGCGGCGGCGGCGGCGCGCGGGGCGGCGGAGCCGAGGCTGCGGGGGCGCGTGCGCTTGTCAGGTGAGTCGCGGCCGCGTCCCTACCAGCACTTCCCATATGGTCTAGCGGTTAGGATTCCTGGTTTTCACCCAGGCGGCCCGGGTTCGACTCCCGGTATGGGAACGTTGTAACTTTTTTTTTATTTTTAAACGGAATGGGAAGATTCACTAATTTTATTTCCAATAGTTTGGGCTCTTGCGAGGAGTGGGTGAAAAAACAAAAACAAAACAAAAAAAAAAAGAAAGGAAAAAACCTTCGTGTGGTAGTGAGGGACTCGACGACCCGTGCCGGCCGGGCGGGCGGTGCTGAGCCTCCGGGAAGGAGTTTCACTTTCCAGGGGCTGCCGCTCCTCCGCCCGGAGTCGCCCTTTTCCAGACGCTCGCGAGGTGATGATTAACTCCGGCCGCGCCTTATCTCCTCCCAGCGCCCCCCTCCCGGGGCCCACACCCTCCGCGGCTTCCAGACCCGCCCCAGGGGCGCGGTGGGGGGTGTTCGCCCCCCGCCCCGCGCCCCGCTCGGAGTGCTGCTTCTCTTTCAGCGGCTGTTTACGGAGGAGGACCCCCCCCCCGCGGTGGCACAAAGCCGCCTGTGGCGGGGCGCGCGGCGGCGGGGCGGCTGGAGAGTCCCGGTGCCCCCGGGTCACCGCCCGAGCGGCCGCGTGTGCGCCCCGCTGTCCCGCGGCGGCCGAGCCCGACCTGAGGGGCGCTGGCGGCACCAAGGGAAGAAAAAAAAAAAAAAGTGTCGCAGACTCGAGTGCGGCCGCCTGGGGAGGCCTCTGGGGAAGGGAATCCCCCCCCCCCCGCCCTTCCAGATTTTTTTTTAAATTTTTATTTTTAAATTTTTTTGAATTAGATTTTTTTAAATTTATTTATTTATTCATGAGAGACAGAGAGAGAGAGGCAGAGACACAGGCCGAGGGAGAGGCAGGCTCCACGCAGGGAGCCCGTCGCGGGACTCGATCCCGGGTCCCCAGGGTCCCGCCCCAGGCTGAAGGCGGCGCCAAACCGCTGAGCCACCCGCCCCGCTTTAAAGCGCGCACCCAGACGCACGCACACAGGCTGCGGAGGAGGGAAAAAACAAAAGCAAAACAAAACCAAAAAAACCCCAAAAAAACAAAAACCCCCACCACTATGATGAGATGTCTTTAAAGAAGAAATTTGACTTTCCAAAGTGGGCGGGGGTGGGAGTGGGGTGTCGTGTAAGGTTTTGAGCTCCGCCGACAGAGAAAATCTTGGGGTGGAGGCGGGGCTTGGAAGAGAGAAAATTGGCTGGAGACTGGGGAGGGGATGTCACAACAAAGTTTCACTGTATTTTTAAATATAGAAGCCCTGTGTTTATTACAAAGAAGGGGCAGCTGTGTCAGCAGCATGTGAGCTGTAAATGAAACAAAAGCGTTATCTTAAATGCAAGCTGAAATTAGAAGATGGGGCGAGCTCTATAGTGTTTTTAGTCCGTTGGGCCTCTGGGAACAAACCGGAGGGGGGGGGTCTGGTGGGTTGAGTTTGTGGAGAGCCACTAAGGAGAGCGGAAGATTGGGGGGCCGGTGTGCGCATTCCCAGACTTTTATATTTTAACTGCACAGTGAGCTTTGAAATAATCTGTTAATGTGATTCACACGATGAAGGATTAATCGCTTTTACGTTGTAGGTAAACTTCCCGTAGCCAAAAATGTTTTATGTTTTCATGAACTCAAATATTTGAGTCCTTAACAACAAGCAACCATGACACACGCTTTTGAAAGTCCCTGATGTTCGGGTTGGTGATAGTTGGTTGTAAATACAGTACTAAATGGAATCTTCTTTTCCTTCACTCCTGTGATTAGCGATTGACCTTGTGTAAATCTTCCATCTTCTCTGTACTCTGGATTTACAGCCATAAATTCTTGATAATACATATCATTCAGAAACGTCAGAGTTGCATGAACTGTTGGGCAATTCCTGAAGAAGTAAGGCAAGTGGAAAAGTTTTATTTACATAGAAGTTTCATTTAAATGAAGAATGGGATTGCGTCGCTACCAAGGAACCATTTACTAAAGAATTAAGTCGGAATTTGGAAGGGAAGGAAAGACCCTCTGCTGGTCTCCGGAGAGGGCTTGACTCTTGACCTTGCATTTTGTGATGACTTGGTATCATATATGTACCAAACAGTGCTAAAATGGTTGTGATTTTCAACTGAGCACCCCAGGAATTGCAAATAGCTTTACTCTCTATATTTGAGGGTGTGCTGAGGGGACTTGTTTGGTGACAGTATTTCTCAGACTCCTCTATGATTCTGTACCAGGTCAGAGTAGGGCAGTATTTGAGTTACAAAAGTCAGTGCTACAGGAACGCAGAGGTGCGACATCAGTTCTACTTCAGGAAAGAGGACTGGCAAAGAGAGGTAGAGGGAGAGGGTGTGCCCTGGACCTGGAAGAACTGGTTGGATTTCTCCTGGTGGGGAATGTCTGTCTATCTTGAAGCTGAGGGGAGTGGAGGATGCATGGATAGGTGGAGGGGCTGGGTTGGAGAGGTGGGATCAGCAAGTATGAAGCTGGCAAATCGTCTGAACACAGTGCCCAGAGGGAGAGGCCTGGGAGATCAAGCTAGGATGGTAGAAGAGAATTTCACCTTAATAAATTTTGACTAGGTAAACAGGCTCTTTGGTCAGAGGAATGGCATTTATGTTACTAGAGTTGCGGTGACTTACTATTTTAAAAAAATTTAAGCAATATAGAGACTTGTGCCCATGGTTTATGTTTACCAGTTGAATATTAATTTTTAATTGATAGAATGAGAAAAGCGATCAGTTAGCGAGAATTCAGTTCAAAAGAATGAAATGTAGGTCTAAATCTTGAGAATTACCTGCAACTGTGTTCTTACTAGTTTGCTTTATTGAAAATGACCTTAATATTCTAAGACTGAACTGCTAGTTACTGTCAGTAAGGCATACACCTTAAATTGGTAAAGGCTAGGGGATAAGTTTGTTAGGCTTCATTCGTATGCTTGTGCCTGGTTACCAAAAAGGCCATTGGTAGTCAGGTTTTAGGCGTCCTCTCTTGGGCCACAGAATAAAGTAATACTTCGTGGTACATAACTTACCCAAGTAGTCTCTTTAATATTTGTTATTGTTAGGTGCAATAGTGTTAATATTTGTTTAATATTTGTTACTGTTAGGTGCAATATTGACCTTTAAATAAATATTTTCACAGATGAACACCTATATTTAAAGAAATATAAGAGTTTAAAAAACGATGGCTTTTAAAATCCAGTGACTTTACCATGGTGGAATATTATCTGGCCTCTGCTTATCTCTCCCAATTCACCTCCTACCTGCCTCTTCATTATATATTAGCCACACTGGCTTCCTTTTTGTTCCTTGAATATGCCAAACTTGTTCTTTTCTCCGTTTTATTTTTTGGTGTTCCCAGTGCCTCGAATATTCCTCCTCCAGCTCTTCATATTTCAGGTCAATATTACCTCCTCAGTGAGGTCTTTCTTGATCACCTTTTTCTTTTAGTTACTTTACTCTTTTGTTTTCTCTTTTTTATTAGTATCTGAAATTAACACATTTGTTTCTGTTCATTTCTTATCCTTTTCCATTAGAGTATAAGCTCCATGAGGGTATGGATACTATATAGTGAGATCATTTTTGCTCTTTAAGATTCAAATAGTGAAGAAGTTGGAACCTTCATGCAGTGTTGGTAGTCCTATAGAATGATGTGCAGTCTCTTTAGAAAACAGGCTGGCACTTCCCTCAAAATAGTTAAATATAGAGTTACCATATGACCCGGCCTTTCCATTCATAGATACATACCGAGAGAAATTAAAACCTGTCTGCACAAAAGCTTGTACACGTTTATAGCCTTTTCACTTTCATGAGCAGAAGGTGAGAATACAAATGTCTATCAGCTGAATGGATGGATGAGTGAGATGTATTTATACAATCAAATATTTATACAATCAAATATATCAGGAATGAATTACTGATACATATCACAGTATAGATCAGTCTCAAGACTGCTGTGTTAAATGGAAGAAGCCAGCTCAAAAGACCACATTTTATACAATTCCATTTATATGAACTGTCCGTAATAGGAAAATCTATAAAAGAAAGAGGATAGATTTTGGTTGCCTAGGATTGGGAGCTAAGGGGGCAGTGGTTGGTTACAGGGGCATGGCTCAGAGTGACTGCTAATGGAGCTGTAAGGTTTCTTTTTAAAGTGATTGAAATGTCCTAAAATAATCTAATAATTATAATGGTTGCATAACTCAGTAACCTGGCTGTTGAATTCTACTTTTTGAATGGGT